CGCAGGTACCCTGGGCCTAAGCCCAGGGTACCTGCGCTTTAAAGGTCATAATTAGTACCTTGAATCGGACCCAGAAGACAACCGGCAGCTAGTGCAGACTGCCTAAAAGGGGTGTAACATGGGAGACCTGGGTGCCCCCATGACAACCCGCGCAGCTGCATTCTGGACCAGTTGAAGCTTCCGGGTACTCTTCAAGGGCAGCCCCATGTAAAGACCGTTACAGTAGTCCAGGCGAGAAAGGACGAAGGCATGGGTGACTGTGCACAGAGCATCCCGATCCAGAAAGGGGCGCAACTGACGTACCAGGCAAACATTTTACCTTTCTTTTAATATGAAAAATTGACTTTTTTTCATCTGTAGATAAAGACCCTTAAATCTTATCATGAAGTTGATGCCACCTGGCAGCTCTTTCTCAGTATGATCTGTCCCTGGACCTCTAATGGAAAAAGGAACTGGATGTAAATAAATGTTTTCGGCTGCTCCTTATTCTCTAGATCAGGGGTGTCAAACTCACAGCCTGTGGGCCGGATGTGTCACAGCCCAACCCCAATTTTAGTGAAGGGGGAAAAGTCATGATGTCACGTGATGACAACATGGTGCCATGGGTTGACACCCCTGCTCTTGATATTATATACGTATTGGTAATATTTTGGGCTAGTCTACATTTTTATTAGTCCCTGAAAGGACTACAGGCCAAACTGGGTTGTTGGTTTTTTTCCCCAAATTGTATTAGAATTATGTGCTTTGAAAGATGATATATTTAACTCTTCTCTCAGTTTAATCCCATTGTTGCATTCTTATTTACTGATATAATCCAAGAACTGTTAATTCTGCTAAAAACAGAAAATCAAGTGTTGTGCAGATTATTGCATGATTGATTTAGGAGAAGAAAATCAGTGTGAAGATTCAGGGATGGAAAAGATTGAAAACATCATTCTAGAAAAAGCATCCTGCTCTGTCATTGCTGTGATCAAAAGCTGTATTTGCTTTATATCAAAAACAGGAGTGCCATGGATCTTTTTTGCAGACTGAGTTTCCTATCAACATTTTTATTTAATTTATTCTGATATTTGATTGTCCACAAATGGAGCTCTATCTTGCAATTACTCAGTGAAGCTTGACAAAGGACAGGAAAATATTTCTGTTCCCAAGTACTTAACCAACATGAATCTAGCAAACATATTAATAAGCAAACATTATAAACATTATAAATGGTCATCTAATTGTCATCCATTGATTAAAAAAACAAAAGTAAAAAAAGTAATATAGCTGTGAGCTATAGGTATAGAATATTAGCATATCTATTGTGGCAGCAATCATAAAAATGGGGTCCATTAGCAAAGACATTAAGTAATTGTAAGACTGTTCTGAAGAGAAAATGTTACTTAAGAATGGAATTGTTGCATTAATGAATCCTGAATTTTCAGAACTAGGCAAAAAATAGGTAATTTCTTTTTTTTTTAATTTTAAAACTTTGTTAAATATCTTTCAAATTAAAAAGCAATATATAGTTCCAATAATTACAGCATTTCCATATCAATGTCATTCACATTAACATAGTTACTAACTATATAGATTACTATACTATGGTAATTTACTATGGAAATAGTATTATTTAAGAATCTACAGTCAAAGAACAAAACTGTTAAAATATAAAATATCTAGGCTAATTTGCTGGAACCTCCCTGTTGTGATTTGAATTTGAATTGTTTATAGATATTTTTTATCTCAGTTGCTTTCATAGTTTTTAAAATATTGTTTTAATGTACAGTGGTACCTTGGTACTCAAGTGCTTTGAAACTCATCGAATTTAGTACTCAAAGCATTTTTATGTGAAAATTTTGTGCTGGTACTCAACTTTTGTTTGATGCCCAATGCACAAGCTAGAACTTTTTGGTGTCAACTGCCTTGTGACTCACTACATTTCCTTATGGGAAATATTTGTTTGGTACTCATCTTTTTTGGTACTCATCACACCTCCCAGAACCAATTAACGATGAGTACCAAGGCACTACTGTATTTTTAGATTTAGATTGCTATGGCAGATGAATAGCCATGTAAATTGAACAAATACATATTGACATATATGCATATACTTTCAAGAGTATATAATTGACCATAATTTCAGCATTTGAATGCGCACGAACGCATGCACACACACACACAAACACACACACACACACCTTAGGAAATATTATTAAATCTCTTGGTCACTGATGGCAAAACATCAAAAAGCAATAGAAACTTCATACTACCAATTCTCACTACACATAAAAAAATAAAATAAAATGTAATGGCTCTGAATTCAAAATTTAGAAAAACTATTAGTTTGGAATTAGAAATATATAATTCTTTCATTTTAACAACCAATTTTAACAGAATAATATTCAAAGCCTGCCAGATAGCTTTCATTTTAATTAAAATCTTGAATTGATTGGATTAGGCACCTCCCTCTCTCCCTCCCTGCCTTTCTCTTCTTCTCCCTCCCTCCCTCTCTCTCTCCCTTCCTCTGTCTTCCAACTTATATTAACTAAGCCCATCAGCCTCAGGAACATATTATAATTATTTCACTGATGATTTGATTTCTGATGCCAGAGTAGGGAGGGATATGTGAGATTTGCCTTCTCATTCCAAAACCTGCTTTATTTTGATGATATATGCCTTGATTGGGTTAATATGAAGAAGCTGATCCATCTAGGCATCAAAATGTCTTAGGTTGATGATGTAAAGCAGCAGCAGCAACAATTTCCTAGTCCAAAT